CCTGAATAATCATGGTCAAACTGCACAGATGTGCTAACGGGTCTGGCTCTATACTGCTGGCAAATGTTAGCCACCTTCTAAGTTTTCAAAGTTTTAAGGATCTCCACTGAGATCCATACAATCAGAACTACATACATAGATCAGTTGCGGCACATATACCAGAAAGATATGCAAAAAAGATTTATGAAATTACTGAATAAATAAATCAAAAATCATAATTTATATGCCAGATGGGAGTGGAAAGATTTGAAATGCTACTCAGTTTTGAGTCATCTTTCACAATTAGAATATAATTATTCAATTTCTAGAATACTGGTTTCCTAGCAGTTTCTGGACACTAGCAGTTTTCTGGCCGTTTATCATTTTCGTTCATTTCAGTTTATTTTTAACTATATTTAAGCATCTAGAAACTTCATCAAATCATACAGACGTTTGTTTTCTAGACAATGCAGTAAATAAATAAGAACAGCGGTCTATTTATTTTGAGAAATTGCCGGTTGTTTGTAGCTACTTTACGGAACTTGTCGCATCACCTTTTAACAACACCTGGGGATTTCCAGTTTAAATGCGCTTGCGCAATAAATTCGAGGTAAATTAACGTAAAAAAAAAACAAGCAGTTGTTCGTATTGTGTGACAAAAGGGTAGAACAATATATTTCTGAAAAAAAACAACATCTTTTCATCGTTTATTGGGCTAAACTATATGTAAAATGAAAATGTCCGGAAAACTGCTATGACTTTAAGAAAAAATGCTAAAAAAGATACTTCTTTTCTGACCCATATTCCATTAAAAATAAAATAGAATAATCGAAAACACAATACTGCTGGGCAGGAACCTACCTATGTTCTATCAAAATTTTATATTTATCTGTTGACCCAAATTTTTACTGTTTGTAAAAAAGTGTGATTTTTGGCCGGAAATTGCTAGGAAACAAGTAAACAAGTGTTGAAATAATCTGAAATTTTGCACACAAGTTATTAGAGTCTAGACCTACATCAAATGGAACATTAATCTGAAAACAAACTTATTCTCATTCTTGTTATGTCAAAAAACTTCAGTTGAGTCCTTTTAAGGTTTTAATATATGTGGGACATGGGGATGCCATTTAGTAAGATGATCTTATTGTTATGATGAAGTTTAGGTAATTCCACACACAAAAAAAAATTTAAAAAAATAAAAATTTCTTTTTCTAAGAATTGAAAAAATACCAAGTTATATATTACACACATAGATAGTAAACAAACTCCAACACCCAGAAGTTTCCAATAAAATAGTACACTAGAATCCTCCATATACTCACTGCTTAAATTTTTAAAGTAATAAAACACCTAACACCAGTTGTCATGTAAGAAACAGTTTGGACTGCAATGTCACAAATACACAGCTCTCATTAATAATGAGAAAACCTGAAATTCTCCACCAAAATTGCTATTAATCTGTGGGAATTAAATGATCATGTGGTTCCTTTCACCAGGGAATGAGGGTTCTAGGGCATTATGATAAAAAGAACCAGCGTAACGTTTATTCAGGTATAAAATAGTCACTAAAAATAATAATAATAATAAAATTTCAATACAATGATTTTGGTAAAAGTGATCTATGGTTACCAGCATAGCCCATTCAGCTGGTTTTATCCTCCACGAGTGGCACTAAGTCCTATGTGCCCATATTTTAAGAAAAATTCTACATGTATAAGGTAATTCCTAAATCGGAAGTGTTCTCCCACAACACGTGCTTGGTTCCCTGTCAATGTATGTGAAACGGAAGCCGGAGAATACTTCCGGTAGGAATTACCTTCTAAAAATATTGTCTACATGTAGAATATTTCTTTAAATACAGGTTCATAGGACGAAGTTCGACTCGTGGAGCATAAAACCATTAAAATGTATGTAAAATCCAGTTGTTTGCATGTGTGTTCGGCCCGTTTGATCTCTTTGTTGATGTATTTCAAGCGTAAATACCAGGTTACAATGTACATGTCATGACGGGCTTTATAACATTAACTAGCAGTTAATTGGGGATCTAAAAATAGTAAATTGTAATAGAAAAATATACTGTGCATTGATTCCATGCAAAAATCTGACGATATTACCGCCCGGTGAAAAATTTTAACACAGATAACCGGCGTACCCATAATTTTCGTACCTGAATGTTGCATACTTTGCCTGCTAGTCATAATCAGAAATGATTGTTAAGCATGAAATCCCCAGAATTATGCGTTTTTACTGATATTTTGATCGATATTTACATTCATCATTCATTTGATGACGTCATGAAAAAAATTCAGACCACGTAGGCACCGATTTCGCTGACATTGTTTAGTACAAAAGTGTGGCTCGAAAATTCGAACATAAAAAAGTCATTTCTTAGGGAAACATGTAAGAGGTCGACATATGTAACAGTAAAACTACTATTTATTTTTTGTCAAGTTATGCTATTGTTAACTTTTTAAACACACTTATTGAAGTTGTTCTTCAAACTGGACCATCAACAGCTTGTCTAGAGTTAAATTTCCAGCCAAGGCGTGAGTGTCGAACTTAGGAACCAAATTTAAAAGGAAGTTCGTTATTTCGACACATGTGACTGAATCAACTTAATAATTATAAACTTAAATCAAACTGACCAAATATGGCATTCCATGCACGTATATTGTATTTGGCTCTGGACGAATAAGTATTAATTAGAGTATATAAATGTTACTCCGTTAACAATGTTTGTTATTGAGGAAATTTGAGATATTAGATGCCGCTAATAAATTCTCAAATAGAAAAATACATTTCATTAGTAACATGTAATGATAATGTTTCGTGATGTTGTTTATTCTGAAAAGCAGGTATACAATGTATTTCATTTGGTTTAAATGAACTTCAGCAATAGGTATATTAGTGTTTTACAGTTTAAATTACATATTTATGCCTAATTGTGTACACATGTCAAGTGAAGCTAATGAAAAGAAATATTGCAGATGTTCGCCATCCAAGTTGATCAACACTATTTCTATGGTTCAAAGTGGTGTAATATCAAAGAAGATAAAAACAGCAGTGATATTTGGCATCCTGACTGATAGGTGGAAATGCACCAACTAGTTTGAATCCAAACAGTGCGTGCTGACTGTTACAGTACATGTTACCCGCTTATCTGTTATAAAGTAAAGATTACAAGTCTAAGATCATTATGTATGGAAGAAAAAAACTTTTAGGAGACTATTTACCTAGAAAAGAAACATTTGCCGGTATTGTTATTTAAAAACCGGTAGGCTACACGCTACACCGGCTCCCTTAGTAAAGTGACAGACTTGCTTGGCTTTGGGCCATTAGAGTCTATATAATCAATGGTGAGTATGGACTCTACCGATTATGTATGCAGAGTAGGCCTATTATTTAAACTAAGAACTAATCTAAATCAAAGGGCTGCAGCTCTATGGTATTTTCTGATCTTTGCAATCTAAATCATACTGACTATCTGTATGTACTTTCCTGTATAAGTTTATTTTTATATACTATAATTCATCTTACGCAGCGACAGCGTTTTGATTTTCTTCTATAACAGTTTGAGATTGATACATAATAATGGAATTTTGCATGAAAAAAAAAAAAATAGAATTACCTCGACTAGGATTTGAACCATAGGCCTCTCGCGCCCTCAACGAGACTGCTTACCTCTGCACCACGGCGAAGTAATACATATATGTACCTTGAATAAAAACGAATACATTATGTAATTTCCATTTCGTGTTTGCAATTCTTATTAATTTCGAGGTATTTTGTTCACGATAAACCTGTTGTTTAACACTGATGAAAATAATTTAGCGAAAATCTTCTCGCCAAAACAGTCCGACATGTATATATTCCACTACTCGACAGTCAGATTTATTTGTGTACTACGCTCTGGAGTATTCGGTAATCGACATAGCTAAAAATAGCATTTTCATTGATTAAAATGATATTCATGATAATCCGAAGCTTTACGGAAATAGCCTACATTTTCCATTGGGTAAAAAAGATATTCATACGCGAAATTTGTGATTGTAACCTCATATTTCTATTGACTAATCTAAACTTTTAATGCACTGTAATTCGTTAAATGCCTACATTAAAAATTATTCTTTCTTTTAAATTGCTGGTTTTTAAGCAGTTTTGAGTGAGAACTAATTTGCGTTGTTAGGACTGTAAGGAAATTTTGTGTTAGACCGTGGATGTTAGCTATGTATTTACTGATCAGAAAGTACAAAAACAGGAAGAAATGTTTCCGCTATACAGCCTGTCCGTGGTACATAATGTGCACTGCTGACGCAATGTAATTAGTAATCCCCGCTTCAAAGATTAAGAATTAACCTTTTTCTCTATAATCAAATTATGTGTGTAAGGCACACAAAAATGTATCTACACAAGTCATGCACATTTTTACTAATTCAAGAGATGAACTGATCGTGTTTTTATTACAATATTCTGTCATAATCCTGTTTGGCTCGTAAAGTGTTATTAATAGTGTTGGAATTCATTTTATTTGTATATTATTTGAACTTTTAATGTATTTCTTAAACCTAAATTAGGGTGTCGAATTTAGGATCACCATGTCGAAATACCGGACCTTCAACGGACAAAGCTTATACTATTATTACATGGAAAATCTTAGATGCAACATAAGAAGTAGTGTTTGAAAAGGGCACGAAAATGTCGGATACTGTAAAGTACGGTGTCGAAATAAAGATATTCATAAAAATGTTAAATTGTAACGAAAATTTATCGTAAGGTGTCGAAATATGGGTACTTTACTCTACTAAAAAATATAACAGTGAAAAAAAAAAAATTATTTTTTTTTTTTTAATAAATTTATGTTTTAGTGCATAAATAACAAGGTTAAACACATTTTAGGTCAAAGCAATGCCACTAGCACCTTTGCTTATTTCCAATGAGGTCGATGGAAACATGATGAAACCTGAGACATTCATTTTTTAAATAAAAATTGACAATAATAGTTTTTAAAGCCATTGACTTACCGTAAACAGATAATTAAATTCGTCCAGATGGAACTACTCCTTTTTCCTCTTATATTTCTTCTTTTTTTACTGGAAAAAAACCCTTCTTTTGCACAGAACGGATAATAAAAACTATTCATATATCGATGAATCTCGTGCAATGGCCGCGCTTTCATTGCAAATGGTGAAAATCTACACAGGGGAGATAATTTTTTTAAAGGTATGTGTAAATAAAAAACTGTGTTGTTTCATCAACGGTTACAGCAAATTATTTTAGAGCTATCTGTAAATAGATAAACAAAAACATTGCAAACATTTTAATAAGTTTTCTACGTTAGACGCTTTGGTCAAACCATGTTTACGGGAAATCTAAAATATCACACTGGATCTGTGATAGAAAAAGTTTTTAGAATATTAACAAGAGGAACAGAAATAGACATTTACAAGGTTCTAAATTTGATTCATTTTTTCTGTTTCAAATGTATACAATGCAATAAATATATACCAATTATCTCATTATAAAAATACATTATGTTTATATATAAGGCAAATGACGTCACGTCAAAATATATGCACGGTCGTGCAAAAGCGGCACTGTTTTGTGATAAATTTGTGTATTTCACGGCTTTAAACCCAATTGTTATTATTATTATTTTTATTATTATTATTATTATTATTATTATTATTATTATTATATTACGCGATATCTGTGTTCTAATAACATTTATCTATGAAACCAATTTATTTTATTCTTTTATCACACACCCGTGCCGATTTTGCGACTCCGTAAAAATGGTATTGCACGGCCGTGCATATATTTTGACGTGACGTCATTAGCATTATACAAACATAGTGTAAAGACGCGCTAAATGTTAGCGTTATACTATAGGCGTGTCAATGAAAAATGGCTCAAGATTATTTCACTTTTTGGGTATGTGATAAATAGAATATTAAATTTGCGTAAGTTCATTACTGAATTTATTGCACTCGTTGAATAAAATAATATTATGCTCGCCAGAGGCTCGCATAATATAGTTTTATTCAACTCGTGCAATAAATTCAGTATTGAACTTACACTCATTCAATATCCTCTATATATCAAGTCTACAAAAAGCAACGCAGTTAATATATCAATTGTAGCGTCACACCAACGTGATTTGACGTCAATGACGTCGTAACCAAGAAAAGACGCTTTGGGGACAGTCGTTGTTGCAACTGTAAAGAAAACCTCTGTGGAAAATGTTCAGCTAAGATTTATCCAGCACTATTTTGCTGTTGATTTATTAACCTCGCATGGGAATGGATTTCTTTTGTTATGGAATCTCGGTACGATTTGCTTCAATCCGAAACAAGCCGCCGTTATTCCTATGACAAAGAGGTGACTGGCGAGAACATGTATGCATCTGGTGTTGCAAAGCCCTTACAGGCCTTTCCGAGTCATAGGGTGCAGAAGTTGCTAAACTGCTCGCAATACGAAGATGTTTTAAAGAAGGTGGACGTAGAAGGACTGTTTCTACAATTAAATGAAGATGGTTCGCCTCTCAGACAGGTTTTCCTTGCTATGACGCAGAAAGAAGTGTTAATTGTGGAGCAGGTAATTTCATTTTTTTTTACATTTTTCTTTTTTTTTCTTTTGAATTTCAATAGATGTGTTATGTTAGTAGACTGAAGTTTTAGAATAATATAGGCGCATGTATTGGTTTTATTTTATCTTAATTATCACGGGGGTGGAACCCCATATGTATCTCAAAAATGAGCATCGGTAAAAATTATATGTGAATTTCCGTTGCAACAGATGTGAAGCATAACACCAGAGGTGACTGTAAAAATAGGTCAATCGCAGGGTAAGTTTTCATCTTTTTAAACATTTATATAAAATTCAATACTTTTTTAAGAAAATCGAAATGTGATTCTACCCTCCTGACTCTCCTCTATATTACCCATTTTTGTTTTGGATTTCTATGCAGTCTTTATAGAGATATTCTTTCCGTCGTAGGTTCTGGTGTGTCCAAAACATGCAATGTGTATGAAGAAAATGTCACTAAATGGACTCAAAAAACAGGGAATTTACGAAATCTTACTACAGACCGATGCTTAACATTCAGACAAATCCTGATTTAAATATTTATTGAGATTTGGCTACAAACGAAGGGAATCTCTGCTCAAAATTGCATTTGAGCTCCATATGTGCTGGAGAGATCCATATGTGCATAATATAAACATTAGCAACATAATTACGCATCACTTTTATAAAGCAATCTATAATTCATTCTATTGTGTTTCATTCTGTAATAGAAACATTAATATCCGAAATAGACACATTTTCACGAGACGAGCTTGAGTAACATAGTATACATATAGAAAGAGATAAGACATTCTGCATACGAAAGGTTTCGAAAATACGTAGATATGGTGGGAAGGCCTTGCTTATTTTTATTTATTGACGTCATGTGTACTGCAATCATTCCCTTGTTATGCCGTCATGCATTATTTAATTACTCACTCGACTGCACTGTCTGCTTAAAAGGCGAGTAATGTGAAGCGTACTTGAATTTGTTATGACGCTGGAAGAAAGTTAGTGATGAACTTTTTGAAAAAGATCAAAGAAACTTTGCATATTTATTTTCCACATCAAGGAACGTCCTTGCATAATATTTGCATGGTTCACTTCATGCCCATAGTCGCAATTATGGGTCAATGTCTATTTGACTTATTTTATGCCTGCTCTCTAACTGATATGAATTTAATAACCCATCTTTTGGCATGCCCTTAAAATGCTGATGAAACGGCGGTTAGCGTAATACTCACCGTAGGGAACGTGTTACAGTATCGCGTTTTTCGGTTACAGTATAGAATTTTCAAGATGGATGATTATTTATGGGAAGAGAGGTAGGTGATTTTTATTCAGGTCCATACTTTAGTACATTTGTAGTTTATTTTCTAAAAGATGTTTTTGTGCTTTGCTTGTAAGGAACAGAATCCGGTATCTAGTCATATATTTCTTCAGACCCTGCACCGCAGATTTATCGCTATATTGTCTCAAAATAGGCAGATTTTGACCAGTTTGAAAATTTGAATCGAGAGACCAACGCATTTTCCTGCAATTTCGACATTATTTATGCATGCCTAGAAAAAGTAAATCTGCAAAACGTTAGTCCTTTATGTTAGGAAACGTTTATAAAAGTAAATGACCAGTTGAACTATTTTCCTGTTCGTTAAAATGCGTTGGAAAAAATAAACAATGTTACAGTATAGAGCGAGGTAATTTGTGTGCAGGGTTCACAGCATAGACCTAGCGATTTGTATCCGATTTTGTTACAGTTTATACCCAGATTTCGGTTACAGTTTAGACTTCGATATTTTCTATATATACTAGGTAAAATGTATGAATGTTACATAGACTTTTAAATCTCTGTGAGCTTATTGGCCCGATGGCTATTCGTCCGTCTGACGTACACAAGTGTGTGCAATCCCATCCGCTCAGTAACTACTTGACTAAATTTAAATGTGATGAAGTTTACATGACTTTCTACCAATTAAGTTGTTCAAATGGTTTTGGTTGCAATCGGGGATACGAAAACCCAAAACATAGATTTTGAAAAAAGGCAATGTTTAAAGACCCTTCTCATCTCGAACCAAAAGCATTCAAATCAAATCATGATCATGGCGTCATTTCGAATGCTTATTTGTTGAAGTTACGATTATTTTGTCATTATTTAATTAAAAGTCGTTTTTTTTTTATTTCAGACATCCTGTATAGCAGTTTTCATGTTTCTGAAAAAGAAAATAATATTGAAAGTTATAGAGTATACATTAAGGTCAGACAATTACAATATCTTCTCTAGTGAGCCTGATGGAGGTACATAATAGTGGCAGAGTCGGGATAAGGCCGCCGACTTCAAATCATCTTTCATTTACTGTAGTTGAAATCCAATCATGACTTTGGATTCTTTGTATGTGAGAAATCTATCAAACTAATTGACGGAAAGTCAGTGGTTCTAGTCTGGTGCCCGCTCGTGTCTGAAATGTTTCACAGAGGGTATCTGGGGTCTTTCTTAACACTAAAGCAGGAATGTTTTCACATGACCTTAGTGTCGTTTCATTTTAAAGAAAGCCAAACGTAACAAAATAGAGTTAAACAGAATCCCTAAAGAAATTTCAACACAACAAAATTGAAAATGTTCACAAACCCTTTTAAAATACTTACAAAATACATTATTGTACATGGAAATTCCAACATAAAAAATTTTGAGGTTGCAGTATAAAAGCGCACTTAAATACTGTTTAATCATTCTTAGGGTATTGCCTGCTTGTCAATTGTGTCTTTTGACAGCTTATCTATGGTATGCAGGCTTCATAACCTCCGATCCCCTCTCAAATTTCACTTTGTTTAGTTTCACTCATTGTATTCTCGCTTAGGGCACACGCAATTTTTTACCTGGGGGTAATATGCCGCTTTTCATAGAATGGCAATAACGTGTCACATTGAAGGTTCCATGATAACCGCCATATGAACACATCCACAGATATTAAAAATCTGAAGTGTGCCAGTTCATGTTTAATGTGAATTCGTGCTGAAAACCCGGTGCTAGGAGGCGTGGACGGTAGCTTGCAGTTACCACTACCGTCCATGAACAGGTTTAATCAAACTGAGCCTGCAACATTTTCATGTTTTCCGTGTTGGACTTCTGTTAAGGATTCTTTTTTCTCTATTTTTTTTACTAATAGGCATTCTTATAATGTGTAATGAAATCAAGCAAAATCTTTTCTTCTCTCAATACAATTCGATAAACAGTTACTGTTGTTGTCCTGAAAACAGTCCTTACTTAGGACATTACTTATTCTGCAAAAAGTCTCAATCTGAAACTTAAAGTAAGAAAAAAATATGGAAAACTATAACTTTTCTGGCTGAAGAAAAAAAGTAAAACAACCTTTCAAGAATGTATTAAATAGAAAGGTATGAGTTATTTTTCATAAAAATAATGGATACACGAACTTTGTTTGAAATTTGGCAAGCATCTAAACTGTAACAGAAATCTGGGTATAAACTGTAACAAAATTGGATCAAAGTCGCTAGGTCTATGCTGTAACCTTTCAAAATTAACCTCGCTCTATACTGTAACATTGTTTATTTTTTCAAACGCATTTTACCAACAGGAAAATAGGT